ACTGATAGTTATTGAGGCAATATTAGGCTACGGCAGGTTAGGCAATATTAGGCTGTAGTGGCAACTGGAAACTGGCAACTGGCAACTGCGGCACTCTAACAGAGTACTATAGAGGAATCCTGTAAAGGAGCATTGTGGCGGGTACTCTAATAGTAAGGCATGGCTACCAGATTGAATCGGATCGGATCAGGACCGATCCGATTGGATCGAGAGGTCTAGCTAGCTCGATCCGATCCGATAGGCCCGAGCGATCGGGCTAGCTCGATCCGATCTGACCGATCTGACCAATCTAGCTAGCTCGATCCGATCCGATAGATCCGATCGATCCAGCCAGCTCAATCCAATCCAACAGATCCGATCGATCCAGCTAGCTCAATCGAATCCAATAGATCCGATCGATCCAGCTAGCTCAATCCAATCCAATAGATCTGATCGATCCAGCTAGCTCAATCCGATCCAATAGATCCGATCGATCCAGCTAGCTCAATCCGATCCAATAGATCTGATCGATCCAGCTAGCTCAATCCGATCCAATAGATCTGATCGATCCAGCTAGCTCAATCCAATCCAATAGATCCGACCGATCCAGCTAGCTCAATCCAATCTGATTTTACCTAAAACCATGTCTAGTAAGGGGTACTTTGAGGGGTAAGGGCCAGAAGGAGCAAGAACACAGTTTAAAACTGACAAAGAGTTGCATACCAATTTTAGCTTTTAGATTACTCTATTAGAGTAATCTAAAAGTAAATCTAAATCTACTTACAATTAGAAAATAAATAAGCAAAACTTTTCATTTGTTAAACCTTGTTCGATCTCGTTGCCGCATGATATGCCCAAGTTCCACCAAGCGATGTCCCAATGAGAATCACTTGCTCAGTGGCATTGCGTAAACTAGTCAGATAATCGATCGCTTCCTAAAATTCTCAATTACCAGTAATTCGTACCACGATTACAAGAATATATTCCGTATTGACATCTTCGTGTCTTTTCGGTAGCTTTTCACTTTTTCCATATAAAGCCAACGAGAGAACGAGATAGCCAGATTGAGCGAGGAAACAGGCACGATGCTCTTTGATCCCGCCAACACCCGAGAGATCAAGAATGCAGGGAAGTGGGCAAATTTCTGAATTTCTGAATTGCATTTGATCTGAATTGCATTTGACTGATCAAGGTTAATAAAAATCAAAGCCAGATAAAGTTAAAGGCTTGCAATTAGCCTCGAAAGCCAAGAAAACCTTCTTGGGTCACTCCTCGTTCTTTACGACCAAATAACGCGTTATCTTATGCTCAAGCTTTCACTGTTTTAGTCTTTAATGATCTAGCAAATTGTATCCAACTAAGTGAGGGTAGGAATCCGAATTCTCAAGCTCAGAACATTAGTCTTTTTCTCAAAAGTCATCTTTTTAGTCAATAAAAGGGTTTTCACGCTATTTTTGTGCACAAAACATCTATCTTCTCGATAAACAAAAATTTAGGTACAATAACGGAACTCTATAACTCTATTCTCAGCCGAATGTGATTGTCAATTTTTCGCCGGCACTCGGATATAAGCCCGCGCTCGTATTTGAGCCGACGCTCGTATATAACCATGGCTAGAATGCCTCGTATAGAAGCCAGCGCTCGTATATAAGCCAGCACTCGTATATAAGGCGGCACTCGTATATAACGATGGCTTTAATCAATTTCGTTAATTTACCGGGATCTTTTGGTGAAAGAAATCACTCAAACAAGTCTCTCGTGTTCCAAAGAAGTTCTCTGGATAGTTTCCGACCAAAGCACTCGTATAGAAGCCAGCACTCGTATATAAGCCGGCACTAGTATATAAGCCGACACTCGTATATAGGCCGGCACTAGTATATAAGCCGGCATTCGTATATAAGCCGACACTCGTATATAAGCCGGCACTCGTATATAAGCCGACATTCGTATATAAGGCTACACTCGTATATATGCCGGCACGCGTATATAAGCCGGCGCTCGTATATAAGGCTACACTCGTATATAAGGCAGCATTGTTTAACCATAGCTTTAATCAATTTCGCTACTTTACCGGGATCTTTTGGTGAAAAAATGACTCCATCAAGTCTCTGATGTTCCAAAGCAGTTCTCTGAATATTTTCCGGCCAAATCACCCTCTCGATCTCACAATCGGCCACCGAATCGCGTTCTTCTCTAGAAATTCTTTTTGTTTCGTTTTTTTTTTTGCATTAATGTCAATCTCTAAGCATTAAAGCTAAATAAATAGATAAATAGATAAGATATTGTTGATGGGTAGCACAGATAACGTCAAGAATTCAATAGAGCTTCAAGATCAAGATCATCTACAGATAATTTAAGGCTTTCGAGACTATTGGACAATTTGTAAGCATTAGAGCTAGATAAATCTTACGGAAATAAAGCTATGCGATGTTTAAAAACTATAGAATTGAACACGATATTAAATAAATGTATCTAGCTGTGTTAGGGTTAGATTATGAACTTAGGCTTAGGCTTAGGCTCAGGCCATTTATGAAAGCTATCTACTTTATCACTTACATGATATGCACAGAAATCTTGTAGTTCAGAGTCTCAGGCACTGGAGACAAGTTCAATTTTGATCCAAAACGCTCAAGTGGATCCTGATAAAGAGCTGTGAAAAGACCCATTTTATCAACACCTAAAAGATGAAGATAGATCCGATCGATCCGATGATCGATTCGATAGATCCGGATCGATCCAGCTAGCCCGATCCGATCCAGCTAGCCCGATCCGATCCAGCTAGCCCGATCCGATCCAGCTAGCCCGATCCGATCCAGCTAGCCCGATCCGATCCAGCTAGCCCGATCCGATCCAGCTAGCCCGATCCGATCCAGCTAGCCCGATCCGATCCAGCTAGCCCGATCCGATCCAGCTAGCCCGATCCGATCCAGCTAACCCGATGCGATCCGGCTAGCCCGATCCGATCCGATAGATCCGATCCAATCCGATAGATCCGATCGATCAGGCTGCCCGATTCGATAGATCCATTCGATCGATCCGGCTGCCCGATCCGATAGATCCATCCGATTGATCAGGCTGCCCGATACGATAGATCCATCCGATCGATCAGGCTGCCCAATCCGATAGATCCATCAGATCGATCAGGCTGCCCGATCCCATAGATCCATCCGATCGGTCAGGCTGCCCAATCCGATAGATCCATCCGATCGATCAGGCTGCCCGATCCGATAGATCCATCCGATCGATCAGGCTGCCCAATCCGATAGATCCATCCGATCGATCAGGCTGCCCGATCCAATCTTCTTTAAAACTCTAGACAAACCTTTATAAAATCCAAATAGTGGAGCTTCTTTGCTCAAATCAATTACCCCGTTCTCATCACTCACAAAAAATGCGTTTGCAATAAATTTCGTTTTGTGAAAAAGACTAGAATTTTATCATTTTTAAAAGAAATTTGTTTAAGAAATTCAAAAAAAAAAAAATGAATTTACTTAAGAATTTAATTTCCTTAAGAAATTTAAAACAAACATCAACTCGATTCGATACAAAATTTCAGGTTGTAGCCCTTGTACCAAGAATTCATCTAAATCATCGATAAATGATGAACGTTTTGGGGAAATTTGAATAACCGGAGCCATTAGAAAATATCGAATTTTTGAGAGAAATCAATAAGGAAAACGTATAAAACGTAAAAACGATAAGTTTATCTTTGAAAAGTGATCATAAAGATAGCAAAAAAGACGGGGAAACGAAGGGGAATGGTTGTAAAATGATTGTAAAATGAGAAGTGAATGAATAATTCATTCAGAAATCATTCAGAAAATGGAAAACTATGGGAAATTTAGATTAGATTGTTCGGACAAGCGTTTACACTCCTATAAACAAGCGTTTGAACTGCTTAAACTCGTAAGTAACGAGAGAATCAAAAAAGCCATGATCTTTAGCGTGACGGATGAGGATTCCAGCAATAGTGAAGCCTTGTTTGCACTGCTTAAACTCGTGAGGAAGCCATTTCCCGTATCTGATCGCTTTTCCAATGGCGTAGAGATGCTCATCAATAGAATTTGAACATAGAAACTGTTGAGGAAGTTGACGGGACGTTTGACATGGATCCGATTCGATTGCAGTCCTCAAAATATCGTTGTCTCGTGACGTTTAACTCGTGAGGAAGTGGATTTGGTAGAATTGTTGTAGAATTTCCCCCATTCTCGACTCTCCAGTTGTTGCTGTCATCTTTGCAACGTAGCGTTGTCATGGATGAACTTTATCTTTGATGTGTCTACTCCTTGACGAATGAGAGATCAAGTTGATTGAGAGATCATTGACCCAATCAAGTTGCTGTTTGTAGAGGTCTGATGTGACTGTTTGGCCGGTTTGTAGAAGCTCGAAATAAACAAGGCCCTTGTTATTCCACTATACTGAGAGCATGACCTTTTTCTCATGAATGTTCGGTTTCACGGCCGAATTTGACCGTTCTCCTGGTCCTAGCCATTGCCGTTTTCGAATAGTATTATCGAAATAGATCCACTTCTCATCTTCAGTAGCGAGAGAATCAAAAAAGCCATGTTCTTTAGCGTGACGGATGAGGATTCCAGCAATAGTGAAGCCTTGTTTTCACTGCTTAACTCATGTGGAAGCCATTTCCCGCATCTGATTAAAACATTTTAAAACATTTTCCAACACTTTCCAACAAATTTCCCTTTCAAAATGCCATTTTTGAGTAAAAAATTAGACTTTAAATGTCAAAGAACATTAAATAAGACTAAGTTAACAATAAAAGATTGAACGAAAAAGATTGGAAGCTTTTTTTGGATTTGAAAGATCAGCTCCTCTTTTTCTCCCTTTTTTCTTCTTTTTTGGGCTTTTTTTTGAAACAGATTTTGTATAAAATTTCAATTCCAGTTCGCTTTTTCTCCCAAAAACATGCCCCAATCTGTAAACGGGAAATTTTCAAATATGCAAATTCTAAACGAAAACGATTTGGAGAGAAATGACTGTGAAAAAAAAAATTTTATTTGAAAATGATTGCAAGCTGTGCATCTCTCTATTTTCTGTTTCAATTTGTTGTTTCTCAATGCAGAAATGGTGAGTGAAAATCTCGTATATAAGCCGGCATTCGTATATGAGCCGGCAATCGTATATAAGCCGACACTAGTATATAAGCCGGCACTCGTATGTAAGCCGGCATTCGTATAGAAGCCGGCATTCGTATATAAGCCGGTATTCGTATATAAGCCGGCACTCGTATATAAGCCGACACTCGTATATAGGCTGGCATTCGTATATAAGCCGACACTCGTATATAGGCCGGCACTCGTATATAGTATATAGTATATAGGCCACTAGTATATAGGCCAGAGCTCGTATATAAGCCGGGATTCGTATATAAGCCGGCATTCGTATATAAGCCGGCATGGTATATAAGCCGACACTCGTATATAGGCCGGCACTAGTATATAGGCCGGCACTAGTATATAAGCCGGCACTCGTATATAAGCTGACACTCGTATATAGGCCGGCACTAGTATATAGGCCAGAGCTCGTATATAAGCCGGTATTCGTATATAAGCCGGCACTCGTATATAAGCCGACACTAGTATATAAGTCGGCATTCGTATATAAGCCGGCATTCGTATATAAGCCGACACTCGTATATATGCCGGCACTAGTATATAAGCCGGCATTCGTATATAAGCCGGCACTCGTATATATGCCGGCACTAGTATATAAGCCGGCATTCGTATATAAGCCGGCATTCGTATATAGGCCGGCACTAGTATATAAGCCGGCACTAGTATATAAGCTGACACTCGTATATAAGCTGACACTCGTATATAAGCCTCTTATATATATATCACTTTATTTAGAACCGTATTTCTGCTCGTACGGCCAAACGTATGTGGAAGCGAATCGAAATGATTGCAGGTTTACCGAATTTTGCCAAGAAAATTCCTTAGATTTCCCGAATTTGAAGGTTTAAAACGACTTTTCGAATCCAGATATTTGTTTTGGTCATTTCTTGTTTTTTAGACCTGATTTATTCTAATCTGGCTTTTGTTTTTGGATTTGAATTTATTTGAGTTTCTTTATTTGTTTTAAATAGACGCATATTTTGATGATAAATTGGGCTGAAAATGAACGAAAATAAGCTTTAGATTTCAACTTTAAAACAAACTTCATTGCTTTTGCTTCATTGCTTAAAAACGAGCTTCATTGCTTTGCCTTTGCCTTGCTCATTGCTTTGTCCTAAAATTCGCGCGTTTTCAGTCGTTTCGTTCGCTGTTTCAACGGCTCTCCGCTCTATTATCAATGTCGCAAAAAATATGTTTTCGATTTTTGTATGCAGGTTGGGAAAAAGATTGACTTTTATATGATTACAATTGAAGATTTAGAAGTGTGTGCCAATCATGAATGCTTGTGAGCCTGAAGAAGAGTGCTTTTGTGTTCAGAATCAAATTTGTGTCATTCAGAGGGTGAAAGCCAAGGATCGGAATCAGGTTTTTTGTTGAGTTTTCACATTTTTGATTGATTAGAGTACAAATTTGATCGTAATTTAGTCCGAAAGCGATTTCTCGTTGTACGGAATCCCGAAATGGACGGGTTTACCGAAAGAAAATTTCGATCCACCAACAAATCGATTGACGAATCAATTTTCTCAAAATCCAGTTAGAAATGGTTTCTTTTGATTGAAAAATTGAGTTCTTCTATAAATTTACAGTCAGGAATGCCATCTATTCACCAAAATTCGGCTCTCTTGGCTCACAATCTGGAAATGACGAGGTAAGGCTTTAGAATCTCGGCTACTAGAGCTTTTGGTGATGTGATGAGCTCAAAAATAAAACCCAGCGCCTCCAGTGTTTTCTTAAACGAAATATGACTAAATGTGCATATTTTGTAAAAGAAATTAACTAAAAATAGTAAATGGGAGTCGAGATTTGGGAATCGAGAGCGTATATAAGCTGGCCCGCCCCTTTTCCCATTAACAATCCAACTTTGAGCTCAAATTTCTTGGTGTTGAGCTGTCCAATTTCAATGTTCTTGGTATCATTTGATGCGCTAAGTCTTTCTCTATCGATTGATATAAAAACTATTGAAGTTGGACAGCTAAACACCGAGAAATTTGAGCTTAAAGTTCGAGTGTCAATCTTCGAGTGTCTCCGTCAAATTTAGATCTTTTGAATTACTTTTTTTTTTTGTAAAATATGCGCATTCAATTCTAGTTTTATTGTTTGTTAATTGGAGAATGGATTGCTTGGAGAAATCACAGAAAATTTCAACTAGAATCTAAGGAATAGAGGAGCACTCTCCCCTTTTACACTTTGTAGATTTTCTGATGATTCAATAACCCATTTGCAATGGTTTATACTTCAAAAGATGCGCAAGAAAATGAGCTATCAAATGGTTTTTTTAAACGCTTAGAATCATCAACTAGCTTTTGAGAAAAAGGCTAAAAACTGAATGAGATAGACTTGCATGTCTTTGAATGCATGATTTGAAAGCCAAGATACTTTACAACGAAGATAAGGCAATGATGAGCTGTACTAGGCAAAGGATACATATTATTTTGTTATTCAGCTTTCTAACTTTAGCCTAATCCTCATTTTTCACTAAATTCCGATCAACCGTGGTACAATTTTGTCTACTATCCATTCTCTGCCTACAATTTCATTCAAAATGATAAACCTGTGAATGTTTGGTGGCCATTTCTACTTCAAACAACTACCGATGTCTTTTCGAACTCAGATCCAAATGCAGGTTGATCTTTTTTAACCAAAATAAGAACGATCTTAATGTTTTATTAACTAGGGCAGATCAGCGCGCCGCCGGGAGTCGAACTCGAGAGCTTACCGGTCAAAGTTGAACCCGAGAGCTTACCGAGAGCTTACCGGTCAAGCTTGCTAACCAATACACTACAACGGACTTGCTCCCTTACTTCAGAAGGAGTTAACTTCCTTCCTTTCTGGACAAGACTGTTCTACTCGTCTAGATTTATAGGCCTGCGTTGCGCTTGAAGCTAGTTATCAAGATCTTAGCCAACCCATCCTTCTGTGCTGACCAGTTGGAAAGAGCGCAGATCAAATGGCGCGCCACCGGAATCTAATCCCTGACCTTCCGCTTACCGGCTAAGCGTGCTAACCATTACACCACCATTTTTTCCCTTACTTTAGAGGCAGTTAACTTCCTTCCTCTCTGGACAAGACTGTTCCACACTTCTCGATTTATAGGCCTGGGTTGCGCTTGAAACTAGTTATGAAGATCTTAGCTAGCTCAGGAGACGATCAAAGTTGAGAAAGTGAGTGCTGAAAGAATCTACTAATTTCACCAAAAACTGATGTGGGAATATTTTACAAGTACGCAGCGCGAGATTACAAGTACATTTTACATGTACAATTCAAGTATATTCAATGTACAATTCAATTCAAGTAACATTTACAAGTACAATTCAATAATCTGGCGACAGAAATTTCCGTTTGTTCAGATTTTAAGCTTGTATTAGATTGACAGTTGGAACCAGGGCAGATCAAAAAAATCATGCACCGAGGAGACTCGAACCTGCGACCTTTCTCCTACCGAGTAGCTGTGCTAATCAATAGACCAGAACACACTTGATCTCCTTTCTCCAGAGGAAGTTAACTCTGGAACAGACTGTTCCACACCTTCTCTCTGCAACAGACTGTTCCACTCGTCTAGATTTATAGGCCTGCGTTGCGCTTGGAACTAGAAACTTGAAAACCTTAGCCAGTACTGCAGAGCCACATCCTTTCCTGGTCGCCAGTTGGAACTAAGCGCCCCGCCGGGACTCGAACTCGAGAGCTTTCGTTTACCGGGTAAATGTGCTAACCATTAAACTACAACTTAATTAATCCCCTTACTTCAGAAAGAGTTAACTAGTTTTTCTATACTTTTTTCATTTTCAGTTCCTGTTTCTCAATGTGTTCCCTATGAAATATCAAAAATGAATGTTACTTCAAAAGAAAATACGACAAATAACTGAATGTTTACAAATTTATTACAAATCCAAAGCCAATAAACTTTTATTCTGATTAGAAACTCACAGACAAATGTCAAAATTCGAATTTCAATCTTTTCAAGCGACAAATCATTATAGATTTAAATCAGAAAAAGAAATGATTGAGATAGAAGTGAAATAGAAACAGAGGCCATAGAGTTGAGCTTTTTGTTAGAGCTTTGACAGTAATTGCAATTCCACGTAACCCTTTAATCTTTTTCACAAAACTGGCTTTGTTCTTTAGAGGGCTAGGAGCACGGCACAGTTAAGATCTGTTTACTGGTTGACTTAGAAGTTAACTAATTAAGCACAAAGATCATTCATTTATTTTTGTTGATCCAGTCAACGTGTTTCCAACGAAAAATCCAGCTTTTACATGGTTTTCACCAAAGAAAGTCTCGATGCTCAACTTTATAGACGAAAAATAAGCCTACTGTATTTAAAAAATGAATCCTGAATGAAATGAAAGTATCTCTAAAGTTAAAGAATTTCTAAACGTAAGTGAAATCGATCTATTTTCTTTTCCTTACCTATACAATTCCTTAGCCCAGCCGAGAATGGAATCAAATCGTATGGATGTCTCGGTTTCTCGTTTTCTGGCGCAAAACGCTCTGGCTTGAATTGCATAAAGTCATCACCCCAAACCTAAAAAGTTTAAATTCTAATTATTAACTTTGAAAACCGTTTCAAACCTTTCTATTTCGATGAATAATCATCGGATTGATCCAAACAACACAGCCTTTTGGGAGAATGAATTCACCTACAGGGTCCGAGAAAAGTATTGTCGCGTCTTTTTGAACTAACTTTTATGCGATTTAAAGTATCCTTTTACGTTGTGTAAAACATGAATTTTGTTCAGTTTTTTTTCCTCTTTAGAATGGTGCATAGCATTCAATGTGTATTTTTAGAAATGCAAGCTTGCCCTCATCGAGAGGCGATCGCTATGGTTTTGAAAGCCGGAGGGTCGAAGGCGGTCATCTCGCGAAAGCTCAAAACAAACATCAGAACTGTTCAACGACTTGCCAAACAATTACAAGAGAAAGGACACGTCAAGGAGAAGCGAAAAAAGGAAGACCTCGATCGGTGAACACGCCAAACATCCGGAAGCTCATCAAACTGCGAATTGACCGAAACGACGAGCGAAGCTTAGGAAAAATGGCCAAGGAGCTAAAAATCTTGGATTGGTCGGTTCGGAACATTGTGAAAAAGGAGCTGGGACTTCGTAGTTATCGTCTGCGACAAGGCGAATTTCTTACCGATGATGCAAAATTCAATCGAGTTCAAAAAGCCAAGCGGCTCCTTTGTTTTTTTAAGATGGCGCGCATCCAGGACGTCTTGTGGTCAGATGAGAAAATTTTTATTATCGAAGTGGCCCACAATTCCCAAAACCATCGTCAACTGATGTCACCGGCCCAGAAGAACACTTTGAAGCGGAAAATCCGGACACGGGGTCTTTTTCCGAAAGGATTGATGGTTTGGGTAGGAGTGACTGCGGATTCGGAGACTCAGCTTGTTTTCATCGACAAGAGTGTCAAAATCAATGCCCAGGTTTACCAAGATCAGATTCTCAAGAATGCTGTGATCCCCTGGAGTCGAAAAAACCCTAACATGACCTTCCAGCAGGACTGGGCCCCGGCCCATGGAGTGAAAACCACAATGGACCTGATTCGGCGCGAATTGCCCTCTCATTTCACGAAAGAAGATTGGCCCAGCAACTCACCGGACCTCAACCCTTTGGATTTTTCAGTATGGGGCTTCTTAGAGGAACGTTTGAGGCATAAGAAAATCGCAAATCTTGGCGAGCTCGAGAGGGAATTGATCGCTGCCTGGAACGATATTGATGCCAACTACCTCCGTGCCACCGTCGGCTCAGTGATCGCACGTCTGAAAGCCTGTATCAAAGCCAAGGAGTCCAATTTCGAACACTTGTTATAAATTTGAATTTTTGGTTATTTATCTGTTATTTTTTTCAATAAATATGTTAAAAGCTCAAATTTGAAAAAAGATATGATGGTTGGAAAAACGACAATACTTTTCTCGGACCCTGTATAGAAATCGTTTTTAAATTTCGATTTTAGACTTTTAAATGATTACAGGTTGAGGAAAAAGTATAGCTCAGGCTCAGCTTAGGCTCAGGCTGAGGCTCAGCCCACCCCATTCCACCCCACCCCCCCCCACCCCCCCCCGGGCCCAGCCCAGGGCCCAGCCCAGCCCAGCTCAGCTCCAGCTCAGCCCAGCCCAGCTCACCCCAGCTCAGCGCAGTTCAACCTAGCCCAGCTCAGCCCAGCTCAGCTCAGCTCAGCTCAGGCTCAGGCTCAGCCCAGCCCAGCTCAGCTCCAGCTCAGCCCAGCCCAGCTCACCCAAGCTCAGCGCAGTTCAACCTAGCCCAGCTCAGCCCAGCTCAGCCCAGCTCAGCTCAGCTCAGCTCAGGCTCAGCTCAGGCTCAGCTCAGCCCAGCTCAGCTCAGCTCAGCTCAGCCCAGCTCAGCTCAGCTCAGGCTCAGCTCAGCTCAACTCAGCTAAGCTTCTAGAACATAAACATGGTATGTCGACTTTAATCTGAAAGTGTTAAAAGTTTAAGCGATATTTGCAATTATTTGATAATAAAAACCTACATTGTATTTCGATTTTTAAAGTAAAATTTCGTCATCGGCTTTCGTAAAAGAAAACTAGA